ATCCCTCTTACAGTTACTACTATTGAGCAAGGTACCACCTATACTCTACCTGTGCATTTCGTTTTTGTTGCCTAAATGTAGAAACTTACTTTCTACAGTCCTGAGGCTCGACAGTGGTTCATTTGGGGTTCTATCAACAGCATTAATCGCAACCGTTTAACAAGATTCCAGTTATGCATTTAAAGATCCTACACATTCTGCAGAGTCAAAGCATGTTTTAATGCAATGAAACATGCCCTGAGATATTGTTTTATACCAATGTATGTACCTGATTAACATATTGTGCAGTAACCTGTAACAAAAACCCTCACTATATAGTTTATAATAAAGGTGGTGTAAAGGGGAGCCTGAGTAAAACTGAGATGTACTAAGACCTACTTTCAGTCATTATAAAGCAAGTAAGAACAATGGTTGTGCATATCAATTAAAAAAAATTAGGAGAAAAGGTACCTGATCTAGGCCTCTGTAGCTTTATACTCTGGAAATGAACAAAAAGAGACAATGCTTAATATTACTCCATTTTGGTAGGACAGTACTTAATTTTTATTGAGTATTTTGGTGTTTCCCAATGCAGCATCTTACACATAAACAGGGGGTGGGCAGATAAGGACAGAAACATTTCAAGCAATCATATTCACTGCAATTCAATCTGATAACGCTAAAATGTCACCCCTTCACAAACTTCTTCCTGAATTCCAGTTCCAGAAATCCAGATCTCAGACCGTTTGGGAAAGAAGAATATGAAAGAGCAACTGCTGGAATAATTTCTAGAAATTGCTCATCAGGTCCAGATTCCTGCTACCCCTTGCTTCACTCAATGGGAATATAATCTGCTCTTTGTCTCAACCCCTAGAATGCAGATGCAATATCTATAGCAGTCAAATTTGTCAAAGAGGTAGCCTTTATTCTACCAAAGTCAGGTGTTTCGTAGAACAATGCTGCAGAATTATGTTTAAACCAGTTACCTTATTGGGTCTCAGCCTCACTGAGTCATCAGAAAATCGCAGCTGAGACATGCTGCTCCATTCTGCAGAGATTTTTGTTTTGTCATTTTTAGACGGTAGTTGATGATCTGAAACTGCTAAGAAAGGTTTATCTGTAAATGATTAAAAACCAGGAATTAAAATGGACTGATTTTTTAAAATAACTTTAGAGAAAGCAGAAGTTTCCAAGCAATAGAAAAATAGCTGTATCTTGCCCCTAGGGCTTACTCTGCATTTACCCAATTGCTGGAACTCATTCTCTTCTCCAAGTACAATAAAAGATTCAGGGGTTCTCTCAGGCAGGGGAGGAGGGATATCATCATCAGGCTGGGCAGAACCTGCAATTTTAAAACACAAAACCTGAAAATTAGAGGGCTTCCTTTTTAGTAAGTTCTGCCAGATGTGGCCAGCAATATCCAAATGATCACTAGATGGCATTAAAAAAAAACCCACTGAAAATTCAAAGTCTTTGCTTCCCTCTAGAACAGTGTTTCTCAACCTTGGCGACTTTAAGTCCTGTGGACCTCAACTCCCAGAATCCCCCAGCCAGCTGTTGTTTTTAGAAAGTTCTAGAGCATGATGGCAAACCTGTGGCGTGTGTGCCACAGGTGGCACGTAGAGCCCTCTCAGGCATGTGAGCTGTCGCCCCAATTCAATTCTACCGTGCATGTGCATGTGCCTCCTGTTGGCCAGCAGGTTTTCGAGTCTCTGCCGCACATGCGGGGGGGGGGCGCATGCGGGAGACTGCCCCTGGATCTTAAGAAGAGGGCTCTCTGCCCTTGTATTCTTTCAAACTAGGCATGCCAGCAACTGAACACAGAGCTTTCTCAATAACAAACCATGTATCCCTCCTTGAGCTACAGATCCTCCCTTGCTTCCATTTTGTACTGCCTTTCACTGCTGCTATTTCTGAGGCACATTCGGTTAATACGATTAACATCTTAATTCATTCAATAGGTAAATCTATAAATCTATGTTTAGGAAGTATCTGCAAGCTACCAGCTAGTGCTCTATATCTGCTTCTACTTTGAACAGCAATCTTTATTGTCTCTACAATGACAAACACTTATTGAAGCATGTTCACATTTTCAAAAATCTGAATTTCTAATATGAAAACGTGAGACATTATATACAATGCTGCCAAAATATAAAAACCATTAACCTGTGAATATTAATATACCTTTGTGACCACTAGATGGCACTAGAGCTAACCGTTTGAAAACAGAAAAATTTGCAGACTTTAATTGCCCTGCATATGCATGCTTCTTAAATATTAATCAAGGGAGAAATTTAATATGATTTTTCCATTTTTATTACTAATTATCTTTATCCAGTTCTCGTGGAATAATTTATCTCAACTCACTAAGTTCTGGGTATTAAAAATTCAGATGGAAGAGCTACCTACACTGTCTTTCGAATAGACATCTGCCGGAAAATTATTCCAGTTCTTTCTACCTCAGATTTTTTTTTTCACACATCAGGATTATAGGATCATTTCTTGCTTCTGTGTGTATATTATCTGCTTTTTGCCATATGGAGCAAATTGTGATGAAGAATTGAAATCTTTCATGCTTTACTGTTTTATGTCTGCAGAACACTAGGGGGGAAATCTGTTCTCTCTCTCTCTCTCTCTCTCTCTCTCTCTCTCTCTCTCTCTCTCTCTCTGTCTCTCTCTCTCTCTCTCTCTGTC